GACTTGTGAGAAATCTTTCCATTTTCATGAGAGAAAAAGCATTTGAGCTCCATACTGTTTCAGAAATAATCCTTGATGTGGTTTGGAGCATAATATGGCGTTTAATCACGGCAGCGTTTAGCTGAGTATCTGCCGGTAAAATTCTCTTTTTTTTTGTTTTTTTTGTTTTAAAGCTATGGGTCCGGAATCAGCACTTCTCTAACAGGGCTGAAATAGAGGGTTTTGGGGCATGGCTAGAATGGGTGATCTGTTTGGGGGATGGGTACCGAGAATCGGTACTAAGTCAATACAGGTACCTGATTGGACGGTATCGGTATACCGTTAAGCCGCTGAGTTAGCTGCTGCGCACGGGTAATATGTTTTGTTTACCTGGGTGCAGTCTTGCAGGCACATCGCCTTGTCTTTTTTTAGTTTATTAACACCAAATGATTGAAAAGTATCGATAAGAGTATCGAAAAATACCGATACCGATAGAGTACCGGTACCGGTATCGATAAAATCCTAACGATACCCATCCCTAATTAGGAGAATCATATTTTCACACGTTTTTCAGAAAAAGCTACTAAATATATTTGAGTAAAAACTGCAGTATCTTTTTCTTAAATGTAGTGGAATAAAAATAATAAAGAAGCATAAAATGGAAAAAACTCAAGTAAAGACCACCACCACTGCTATAAATAAAGATGGCCGACTCACTCTTTTATGTGTTTCCTGCAGGGCACAGAGTTCCTCATGCAGGTACCAGTGAGCCTTTCTACGTCCTCCACAATAACGAAAGGCTTCTCCTCCAACGTGACGATGGACAGGTGGTTGTCGTCCATCTCGGCGTCACCGATGGAGTTGAAGCGCGGCCAGACCGGGTACTTCAGTGTCAGGCTGCGGTTCTCCAGTTTCCCCATCTGGAAGGAGGGAGAGGAAGGGAGAAAAGACGATGAATTAGTAAAGCTCAATGAGATGGATACTCACTTAAAAACTAGAAAGGTTTAACTAACATTAAAGGCATTTACAGAGAGTGTGGATCTCAGCCAATACTTTACAAATAGTGATCAAGCTGGGAATCAGTCACTTTCTGTAACAGTAGTTGGGGTTTAGACCCATGACATCACATAGAAAAGACAGTCTCTAATTACTCGGCAGATCTAATAGTTACAAGTAGACAGGAAGTGGAAGTGGCGGGAAAAAGTCGTCCACCGCAGTGATGATAACATGGCAGGAAAAAATGCAGTGTGTTACCTTTCTTTACCTGGTAGTTCCTATAACTGCTGTAATCTGTTGCCCAATAACTCAAAGCAGACAGGAAGTGGAGAGGATTACAAATGTAGACACACGTTAACAATTCCTTGTAATGTTACATATGCTGCTTTTTTTTGGAACGAAAACATTGAGATCAGTACACATAATTGATGTGACTACCAGTATGACAACATAACATATTAAAAGCATGGTGTGTAAGGATGCATGAAAAAATGCACACAGGGGGGGACATAAAGTACAGAATGAGCACTAGTGCAAACATATAGGACGAACAGAGAGGGGGTGTGCGAGAAGGATGGGGCCTGTTAATAATTCAGAAAGTTTTCAGAGCTGTGATGTCACAGATTCCCCTATGGATGATCTTGGCCTACCTTCACCTGTGTGTGTGTGTGTGTGTGTGTGTGTGGTGGTGTGGTATTTTGTGCAAAACGCTTCATAGACATGTTTATTATATATCTGAGAACTATAATATATGCCTAAAAATAATAG